TAACAAAATACTATGGAGCTTTTCCCAGAATAGAATGTAAAGCTATTTCCCATGTCCACCAGAGTAGATGGTTTGTAGAAATTAGAAAATGTGCTCCAAGGCCTGGGTACAATACCAATATGTATCCTAATTAACCAGCCATGTACTGAATTTCTGTCTCGAATCTCTCTCCTGTTGGACATTTGTCACAAGGAATGACATATGAAACCTATGGAGGTGTCAAATGATGTATGAAATCCTTCTCTTCCTCCTCTTCTTCTTCTTCCTCTTCCTCCTCTTCTTTCTTCTTCCTTCTTTCTTCTTCCTTCTTCCTTCTTCCTCCTCCTTCTTTCTTCTTCTCTTCTTCTTCTTCTCCTTCTCCTTCTTCTTCTTCTCCTTCTCCTTCTCCTTCTCCTTCTCCTTCTCCTTCTTCCTCTTCCTCTTCCTCTTCCTCTTCTTCTTCCTCCTCCTCCTCCTCCTCCTCCTCCTCCTCCTCCTCCTCCTCCTCCTCCTCCTCCTCCTCCTCCTCCTCTTCTTCTTCTTCTTCTTCTTCTTCTTCTTCTTCTTCTTCTTCTTCTTCTTTTCTTCTTCTCCTTCTCCTTCTCCTTCTCCTTCTCCTTCTCCTTCTCCTTCTCCTTCTCCTTCTTCTTCTTCTTCTTTCTTCCTCTTCTTCTTTCTTCTTCTGCTCTTCAGCTCAAGGCTAGTGCTCTACCACTTGAGCCACAACGCCACTTCCAGTTTTCTGGTAGTTTATTGGAGATAAGAATTTCACAGACTTTCCTGTACAGGCTGGCTTTGACCAGTGATCCTCCGATCTCAGGCTCCTGAGTAGCTAGGATTATAGGTGTGAGACACCACGCCTGGCTATATGAAGTCTTCTATGGAAATCAGATGACAGCATAAGCCTCAAGCTATAGATTGTGTTATATGTTATTTGTTTTCCTCAAAAGAAGTCTTGAGTTGTCTATGACAAACCTACAACCAACATTATACTTATTGGTGAAAAGTTAAAACCATCTTTTTTTAAAATCAGGAATGAGATAAAGATGTCCACTCTCTCTACTTCTCTTCAATTTAGTACTGGAATTCCTAGCAAGAGCAATAAGGCAAAAAAAAAAAAAAAAAGCGTAAAGGGGATCCAAATATAACTCTCCTTGTTGCAGATGATAAGAGTCTATATTTAAAGAATCCTATAGATTCTTCCCCTAGGTTACTTGAGTTGATCTGAAACTTAGGCAAAGTAGAAGGGTATAAAATTAATCCAGTAGCTTTTCTGTATGCCAACAACAATAAGATTGAGACTGATAATGGCCATTATCAAGAAAATTAACGATAACAGATGCTGGCAGGCATGTGGCCCAAAGGGAACGCCATTACAGTGTTGGTGGAAAGCAGAATAGAGGTTCCTCAAAAAACTAAATATAGAGCTTCCCTGTGATCCAGCACTTCCACTCTGGGGCATAAAGAAGGCCACACTAAACCTATCAGCTAACTGTATTCATTCTAGTTTTGTTTACCATAGCCAAGATATGGAATCAACCCAGATGTCCCTCTATGGACGATTGGATCAAGAAAATGTGGTATATATACAAAATGGAATTCTGTGCTTCCATCAGAAATAATGATAATGCACATTTGTAACTAAATAAGCCAAACCCAAAGAAACATAGGTTGCATAGATACCCTCATTTGTAGTAACAAGTATGTACCTATAAATCTACAAGTTTTGAAACAAATGTATGGTAAAGGTAAAAAATACACTTGGACATAATAAATTAAACAAGACTCTAAACATTCACACAGTGAGACCAAAGGAGGGTATTGTTAGGAGAGAATCACAAAAGCTCAATGTTTATGTGGATATGGTCATATATAATGATATCCATTGAAATAAACTTCCAGAAATGGAAACAAGAGGGTTTTGTTTATGTTGTTTTGTTTTTTGTTGTTGTTTTCTCCTTTGACATTGTTTTTGATTTTTGTACCATTTGTCTTGTATGTAAGTTTATCTGTTTGGGGGAAAAATAAGGGGAGCATAGAAATGGAGGGACAAATGGTGAATAACTGCAGCAGCGATACTATACACTATGTTGAAAATGAACTGTACAACTTGTGGGGAAGGAAGGTCAGGAGGGAAAATACTTGGAGAAAAGAAGTGACACTATTCAAAAAGAAATGTACTAATTACTTGAATTATGTAAGCATAATCCCTCTGTATATCACCATTGCAATATTTTTTTAAAAGCCTTGCATGGACTAAAATAATTGAGAAGATGAAGTCTTCGTGCATGAGATTATATAAAGAAAATATTCTAAAAGGCAATAACCCTTTAGATAACCCAGAGATGAAACCGTCTTTGAGACTGGGCCAAGGGAACACAGAGACAGAAACACAGAAAACAATAAGACAGTAGTACGTAAGACGTAGAATGGTATAATACTAGAATAAACTTCATTATGCTTCATAGATATATTTATTTACAAATAATATAAGGTATTGCAATGTAAGTATCCACTTTCTTATTTCTCTTTCTGTATTTGGGAACTGAATTAGTTCAGAAATAAATGACGATTTATTTTTTAAAAATAGAATTAGCTGCCCACAATTAATTGAATAAATTGTTCTTTATCTGAATGGAGTGGTCACTATGACTCCAAAAAAGTCAGGAGACAAAACAAATATGAAAAGGACATGTGTTCACTCTCTAGACTTTCTATACTCAAGAAATGAAGCTCTTGAATGGTAAGATACACCTGTAAATAGTTTCACTTTTATTTTAAAATATGAAGCATAAAATAAAATTTTACACAGGCTTTTAATTTATTTAGTCACGTGCAGGACTTTAATTCTAGTGTCTGATTGCTTGTATCTATACTCTCTCTCTCTCTCTCTCTCTCTCTCTCTCTCTCTGTTCTTAATGTGACCTTCATTTTCCTTCCCTTCCTACAATAAAAATTAATCTAGCTTTCTACAGTATTTTCTTTAAAACTTTACTATTCAAAGTTCACCAAGTTCCCTTTTCTAAAGCAGCCAGTAGGATGAATTCTTCTCATTTATTTTGACAGCTTTTTAACCATCTTGGTATCACCAGTCTTTAGTGCTTTATGTTTGGGTGATTTCTTATACTGATTTTTGTTATTATAGGGAATCAAGAACGCAACCTTAATTATCTTCTGATTTTGTTTTTCAGTATTTCATTTTGATATAGGAACTCATTATAAAATTAATGTTCATTTTTTAATATTCTTAAGATGTATTATTTATCAGCAGTTTAGTATTTGAAAACTAAAGTAATATTGTTTATTGGGTCTATGACTTCTTAAGTACATTTTGGTCAAGCCACATCAATAGTACAATAAAAAGAAAATACAATGAAATTAATAATGAGTACAGAAAATACATTTTCTCTTATAAAAGTTACTTAAAATGAAAAATGTGTTTAGAAAGACTGCAGTAGATTCAGAAGATTTTAATTGATAGAAATTTGATTCTCTATTCTTAAAAAGTTGAAAATACTGTCCTCTGCATGAGTGTCTTAAAATATACTTGAAAGCTAAAAGTATATCAAGAAATAAGTTTTTCTTCTAGTTTTTCTCCTTTGTTCTCTCTTGTCATGTATAATTGAATGAACCATTCAAGTGCTTTTTCTGGAGGAAATTTTCAGAGCCTTGCTTTAGCACATGAGATAAGTTCAAGAAATAGAGTGGAAATTAAATCAGAAATCCTGATGCTGTTGGCTCATGTCTGTAATATCAGCTATTCAGTAGACTGAGAAGCCCACCCAAGGCAAGAGAGTCTGTGAGACTCTTATTTCCAATAAACTATTCAGAAATAGCTGAAATGGTGCCATGGCTCAGTGTTAGAACACTAGCCTTGAGAAAGGAATCTAAGGGCAATACTGTGGCCCTGAGTTCAAGCCCCAGGACTTGCATACACACAAGAAAGACATTAAATCAAGTAAAAATTATATGGCAAATAGATATTATATCACTACTTATTATATAAGTAAGCCTTTTGTATTAGCAGTCATTACATTCTGTTTGTGGGTTTTTATCAATAAAAACCAAAGTAAAATAATATTTAGCCTACATGAAAATCTGAATTTGTAATGATATAATACAAAATAAATACACATTTGACATGTTCCTCCTTGTACTCTTCTCAGTAGTACAACTTACTTGTAGATATATATATTACACCATCTCATACAAGGCCTGGGTTCTAGTTGCTACCTATTATCTAAAAAGTTTTCTTTTTTCTGTGATGACTTGAGATCACTCTCTTGTTACCCCTCTCTTTTTTTACCCCAAAGAGTTCAAATTGCTAAACTGAGTCTGATCATGCTTTAATCTTCTTGTATTAAAACTATTGTGCACCCATTTAATATTTTATATTCAGCTAGCATTTAATCACACAGGCCTGACTTGAAAATCTACTATTTTTAGAGATCACGTTATCAAGCCTAGGTCAATCACACATATAAATGAATTAAATTGATTTTTCCAATTAAAATGGATGCTGGAAATATGATATACTTTGAAAATACATATTTTGATTTTTCCAATTAAAATGGATGCTGGAAATATGATATACTTTGAAAATACATATTTATGTACAAAATGAAGACACAAATAGGTACAGACTGAGGGGAAGGAGATGTGTGTGTTTACGTATGGTATGTATGCACATCTATGTGCATGTATGTGTGTGTTAACTTTATTTAAATATTTCTCAAGAGTTATGAAACATGCTTTTAGAGCTGTGTTTTATTTCATGGAAGAACTGGCATTCTGACCACAGTTTTTCTAAGTCTTCATTTCCTGAGCTCTTTATGAATTACCTCTGTACTAGTTTGAGTACCAGAAATCAGGGACCCTGGACTCTGGCAACTTGCTTCCACAGGCCTTGTTCAGTGGCATAGACTGGACATAATTTATTTTTGTGTGTGACAGGTTTAACAAAAGTAACATGAAACATAGGGATATTGCACCTCAAAAGAGGAGAAAGTTTGGTATGTTACCTCCTGATTAGCAGCAGCTAGTTCTTCTTCCAGTGCAGAGACTCTTTCTAAAGAAACCCTCAGTCGCTCCCTTACCTAGAAGAAAAATCAAAATATGTGCAGTAATGTACATCCCATAGTATTAAATTGTGCTGAACCCATCATTAACATCACCAGTATCAATTTGGGAAATTAGTAAAATAGTTATAGTCCTAAGTGCCTAGATAAAGAAACCTGGCAGGAATACTAGGAAGACATTGTGCTGGTGGCTTCACTTTATCAAGGGATTTCTTGTAAGCAAATCCTTTTTCCGATTCATTGATAGAACTTCTGATGGGCTTGGAGACTGACAGGTGTTGCTCTGAATTCAGGTTTGTAGTAAGGGGAGGCAAAGTTTATAAGTATATTATAGGTTCATCTGAAAAAAAATAGTCACTAGTGAAGCATGAATAATTGAAAAGAAAGCTTTCTTCTTTTTAAAAAATAATTTTTATTTGGCAGTTAGCACCTAACTGCTTAAGTGAATTCTTTCTTAAAAACAATGGATGCTTAGACCCTGACGACTGTCCATTGCATGGCTCTTTTGTATTAAATTGTGATTTACCATGTTTTGAAGAGTTGCAAAGTACTTAATTATTTCTGAATTCCAACTAGCTTCCAGATACCCAAGATTAAACCATAATATGTGGTAAAATAGAAAGCTCTGTACATTTTAATTTGAAAGTAATGATGACTCACAAATGTTTTTTTATATAACTGAAATTCAAAGAAGTGTTTCTTTAACTCTGCCTTTCATAGAACTTCTAAAATTGTTTTCACTGTTACTTTCTTAGATCTGCAGATATGTCCTACATTACATTTTTCAAATTTAAAATTTTCAGATGGATTTTTTTTACTGAATTATATAAACAAATATACCCACTTAGGTTTCCTTTAAAAATCAATAACCCTTCACAGATTTAAGCTGCAACTCCTCATGAATTTTTAAATTTTAGGAATTAATATAGATTTTTCCACACAAATGCTATATATCTGTGTTGTAAAAATATATATTCATATTATAATTATATTATTATGAACTTTAGTAATTCATATGGTATGGTATAGTATAATTTTTGATGTAATAGAACTTATTAACATATGAAACATATAGCAACACTGAAAAATTAAAAAAATTAAAGTTGGAGTCATAACTTTATTTTCCAGTTAGAAAAAAATAAAAAAGCCAGTAGTGTTCTATTAACCTACAATTTAGTTAAGAATTAAAAAAAATTAAATGATGTATTTAAATACTTTTTAGATAAGCTGTATCATCGGGTGGCTAAGCATACTGAATCACATCTTAAATATTTGCTATGTTCTAATACCTTGAAAATTATTTGTACATTCATAGCATTTACTATAAATGCTTTTATGTATAGCTAGAGTAGATAAACACCACAAAATCCAATTGTTTATAGCAATGCATACAATTAATGCTAACTAATAACTAAGCAATGGTTACTTTTGAAGGAAATCTTTGATGAGCCTTCTTGGAGCACATTTTCTTTATGAAAAACTTGGAAAAGCAGCAAATATTCTGAAGCTATGAATATGAGTAGAATAACTGACCCATGAAATGCAGACATAAGAAAGAGCTTCACAAACGTCCTTGGTAGGTTTATAGTGGTAATGGCTATGGTTTGTGCTTCTAAATCAACTGTAAAATGTTGCTGATTTTCAAAAGATGTAGGAATCCAAGTGGGTGAAAACATTTATGTGAACCCACCTGGATATATAAATTCATGAGCTCACTAAATGCAACATTGGCCAGGCCATGCTTCAGATGTGTTGAGGTAGTCAAGATACCATATTATAAAAGATGTGTTTATACTTTGGAATGTTTCTGACAGAGTCCTAAGTTATGTAAGGAATGCCTGAATCCAAGTTAAAATATCTTCCTGATTTTCTTTTGTTATATTGAAACTCCTAGCATCTTTTGTGGTCTGTTCTCTTTTTACAACTAACAAAGCATTTTATAGTATCATTCTATTGATCCCTTAAGGAATAAAAATAATCAAACTTAATCAAGTAATGTAGAAATGGAATAATACTCCACAAATAAATTGAGCAATGTTTTGAACAAATTAGATTTTATTACCCACAAGTGATAAATACAAAACTCTTTATATGAAGATAAAATACTTTTAAATATATTTTGAATTAATATAAATCTTAATATGCATGCCTCCATTACTAATGAAGAATGATATAAAAGCTTCACTTACATTGACATGAGGATGAAATGTTATCTGTGTGTGTAATTTAGAAATGAATTATATCTGTACCATCCTATGCACTTTTTCTACTTAGTGAGGAAAATGGGAGAAGTCTGAATAACTAAACAACCAGCATTTCCAGGGTATAAAATATTGTTACATGTAGTTTATCCACTTGGCCTGAAGTGCACTGATAGGAAAAATAGTGTAATTGATAAATCTTTTAGTGTTTTGGTCTGTTCTAAGTATTTCACCAGCAGATACCATAAATTTTTTTAGATTTCTTCCTGGATTTTATTTGTTCTTCTGTGACTAGAAACAATGTATCATATCCCAGGAACGGTAATGTTAGTTTTCTCTAAATACAAGTACAAATTAGATACAGCCTTCCCTCTCTCTCCTTTTCCTTCCTTCCTTCCTTCCTTCCTTCCTTCCTTCCTTCCTTCCTTCCTTCCTTCCTTCCTTCCCTCCTTCCTTCTTTTTTTCCTTTATTCTTTCCTTCCTTCCTTCTTTCTTTCCATCTTTCGTAGACTCTCATTATGCTGGTCTGAGATTCAGGTCTATGTATCACAGCACTTGGCTCTTACCCTATTTCTATTAAAAATAAATATAACTCAATATTCCAGCACATCTGTTGTCTGTGTAGTTATTCCCTAAGACAATCTGCTTATTTGTAGAGCTACGATGTAACTATTAAATATACATTTATACATATCTAGAACTTTCAATTTCTGTTTTCTATTTCTATTTCATTTATTAAGGCTTGAACTCAGGGTTTCACACTTTTGCTCAGCTTTTTTGCTTTACCACTTGAATTATGCTTCCACTATAAGGCTTGTTTGTTTGTTTGTTTTTACCTGTTTTGTTTTTACTAGATTATTGGTGTTGAGTCCTAAAGATTAGTCTTCCTGGGCTGGCTCCTTCACTTTAGATATTTAAAATGTTTAATATCCTCTAAAAAGGCCACTCTTCTAAAGCCCTGGGTTATTTTGCATGTAGTCAATCAAATATCATTCCCTCTTGAGACATTTTTTACTTTCTCATGATTAAAGAAATTGTTTTTGGACTCCATGTCATACTGCACAATGTTTGGCCAGACTTGTTTGTTATTGATGTGAAGTCCTCAGTGTAAAGAATATCTTATTTACTTTTGAGCCATTTATCTGCTCCTAAGTAAATATTCTATAAAATCTTGAACATTTTTAACAATGTACTTTTGTGACAAAAGGGGGAATGTAATGAAAACTTAACATTAAATGTCTTAAATGATTATTTAATATCATATTTATCATGGACTTTTTTATAATATGCATTTTTTGTATTCAAAATTATATATAAACTAGGCTTTTACAGCTAAAAGAAAAAATGGTAAATGGCTTCTTAATAATCTAGAAGACAGAATTAAATTATCCTTATGCACAAACTGCATGTAATCTTCTAGTCTATGAACATCTGGGGGACTGATGATAAAATATATATAAATATAAATATTAAATGGAGCAAAAATCCCTGCATGCTTGAAAATTAGATAGAATTAAGCAATAATCCCTCGTTCAAATTTCAATGCTCAGAAATTGTAATAGGCTGTAGACTGAAGTGTCCCAATTCCTACCATATAAGTCTTATTCATTTTTAAATATCATTCTTCCAAATTTCACAAAATTCAAATTACATTATAAACCTTACTAATCTCCAAAGGATATTACCATCACACTGGCTTATATCTGCCAGAGAACCTATGTGAGTAACAACTAGAAGCTTACAGCTATATTTAAAAAGACCTGAGAGGATGGTTTTCTTCTAATAAATTATGCTGTTACATGCTGACTCTTCAAACATATATTTGAAACTAAGACATTAGATATCCCCTCAAAAGGGGATGTTTCTAATATAAATGTCTGAAAGTTAAATTATGCCCAATTTGCACTTCAAAATAGGGGTAATTTTCAATAGTGGTCTGTTACTTTGTCATCTATAGACATTCATTCAGAGAGATGAAGCTGGGTGGAGAGGGTGTGTGAGAGAGTGAGAGACAGACACAAAGACTGCGAGACAGAGAAAGACAAAAGCTGAATGATTATATGACGCTGAATTTCAAATGGCCCTCTGAACTAGGCCCATGATGCTCATGTTGCAGGTTTAAGTTTGTTAAACTACACATTCAATATGTAAAAGAGTCATGCTTATTACCAAGACATATACAGTAATCCATTTATATTTTTAGTGGTGATTATTTTTTACATAATTCATATATGATCCTGTGAGCTGACTTACAGGAGGATTCAGTCAAGTGAATAGAAGAAGACAGGAAATTTGATGCTAATCGCAAAAGTACGGATGAACTTTGAAGCTTTTGTCCATACTATACCTTTTCATCCAAGGCCTTGTGGTGTTCAAACAAAGATTTCAGTGCCTTAAGAACCTCAACTTCACTGGACACTCCCGAGGGGGACTGTGCTTGCCGCTTTACCACCGTCATTCTGAGTGACCTTTCGTGTCTCGACACAAGGCACTCCAAATGCTCCAGTAACAGCTATCGGGCAAGACAGAAAAAAAAATCAAATTATCTTGTTGATTCGATTCATCAATACCAACAAAGGACTTTTACCTTAAACTATTCCAGCTATTATTCCAATAATAGTGATAAATAATATTACTAATAATATCCTCAGGTAATATAATAGACAGATATCAACAAAATGCACACACCTGTTCAAGCCTGGGTTCACAAAATACATTCAAGGAAGGTTGTTGGATTTTAAGTTATGTTACCCATTCCTCTAGGAAATTTAACAATTTCAGTTTGTATTCATCAGAAATATAATATTTGACCAAGCATATTTATTCTTTCAATAAATGCACAAAGCAGAATGTTTCTCAGAGAATAATAGGAAAACCAGTGCTTCGATAATATTTAACTTATTTCATCTACATTTGACCATGTAATTTTGTTAATTGGATGACATGAGCATATCAGCATGGTATTGATTTAAATCATAGTGACAATCACTCTATTTTATTCATAATAAATATTTTTGTAGTTACCATCAGCTTATTATAAGAGAGAGATGGAAATTATTTACATGATGAAGATTTCAGAACTTCCATGAAATGGGCAGCTTCACATAATGCCATTTCAGTGATATATTAACTCTACATACTTCCCAAGAATGTCACCATCCCTAAATAAGAAATAATCATTGTCACTTAAAACTACTTTGGTGTCTCCATATTCTGGGAGAAGAACTTTATCACCCATTTTCACACCATCTGGCTCAATATTTCCTTTAGATCCTGATCCCATAGCCACTAATGTGGCTGCAATACTTTTCCTGGAGACTTTTCTGGAAGCATAATGCCTCCTTTGGTTACAGTTTCAGCTTCACTCCTTTCGACCAACACTCAGTCAAAGAGAGGAAGAAACTTCCTAAATGCTTGTCCAGCCATGACTCTCATGGTTGATACTTGGACTCTATCATGATGAATCTTTACATTGCTAAGAATATACATACACAGCTTACTATATTACAGTAGAGATCTCCAAAATTCATTCGTGGCCAAAAATGTGAACAAGAATGTGTCTGTCTGTCATGGCACCTACACCCTCAGAGCAGGCTCTGGACCACAGTGAAGATGAAAGAAAGTTCTGGTGATCAGTTTCCAGTTTTTTGGTTTTTGCATGGGAAGTTCTGTTTTTACATGTTTCATAAATAAGCAATGAAGATGACTGTGAAGAAGCTATGGAAACCACAGCATACACACAGAGAAGGAGGAGGAGAAGGAAGATGAAAAAATATGACGAGAAAAATGAATCTACCGAAGAAGCTCTTGGAAAAAGGAAAACAAACAGAAAGTAGCTCCAAAAAGTACAAAAGATAGTATCAAATACATCTTTCAATCCCTTTGTGCAAAATCTAAATTTTGAAAAATCTACTACTAAATTAAAAAACTAATGTCACTAAAATTGTCACTAAAACTGCACTTTTTCTTGTGGATGTCAGAATTGGGATAAATAGAAAGGCTATCTATTTGAATTTTGAAGCTGTTGAAGACCTAGAGAGAAAAAATAAAGCCTTGGAAGTTACATCTTGAGCTGTTTTGAAAACAAAATTAAACCAGAGAAATCAATGGGAAAAAAATGAGATATAAGAATAGTGTGGCCCCAAATGTCCCTTACAATGTCACTCAAGATGAATTAACAGAAGTGTTGAAGATACTATAGAGATAAGAATAGTCAGCCAGCATGGGAATAGCAAAGGACTTTGTACAATGAATTTAAGACAAAATATGATGCAGAGAGAAACCTCTGAAGAAAATGAAAGGTTAGATATCAGCCATTATCCCATTTGCTTGAAGTACATTGGAAGGAAAGGTCAATGTCATGACTATGAAGGTGGAAAGAACAATGTTTGGAGAGGTAATTAAAAAACTGGCTTTAAGCAAACTTTCCTACAGTTTAACAGAAGAAATGCTTTAAGTGTTTGAGAAGAAAACTTTTTATCAAAAGTCCTAGAATCAAAATGACAAATCTAAAAGGTATACATTTATAGAATTTGTTTTGTTTGAAGAAGTTAAACTTTAGTTTCTCCTAATAAATAAAAGGAAAATAAAAGGAAATTTGAGAGCAGAACAGTAACACAGGAGTTATAAGGATCTTGGGGCAAGAAAAGGGACCCAAGGCAAGAAAAACACCCATCCAAAACAGCTGGTGAGAAGTCTTTCCATAACTGGGTGCCAATGACTCATGCCAGTAATCCTAGCTACTCAGGACACTGAAATCTGAAAATCATGATTTGAAGCCAGCCTGGGCAGGAAAGTTTGTGAGACTTTCAGATCACTAGGCTGTAACATAAGAATTCTGACCAATTGAGGATGTTTCAACACAGGCCATATTTAGGTTTTCTTATTGAAACCCTCAATTGAGATTGCCTTTCCTTTGGATGTTCCATGCTGATGCTAGACATTAGAATAAGAAAATGATCTCACATATATCTATTTCTGCATCTTGAAAAATATGTGCTAGATTTGCCCTATCCAGGCTATAGGAATCCCAATAATTACCAATTGGAGCTGTGACTCAAATGGGAGAGCACTAGCCTTGTACAAAAAGCTCAAAGACAATGTCTTGAGATCTAGCCTCAGTAAAGGCACATAAACACCCCCCTACACACACCAAAATATAAACAAGTCTTCCTGAGGATAGCATCACTGAGATGTGAAAGGAATCATTTAATGCATCTCTTCATGCTAGGATAGCCACTAACCAGGAAACTAGATTATCCAGACAGTTTGGTTTTGAAGATTTCCATAGTGAGGAAGATGTTGCCAAAAAGGCCATGGAAAAAAATGAAATCAGGAAGCAAAGGTACATCAGACTGGACTAAGCCTAAGGAGACAGGTAGTTGTTGGGGTTCATACTGGAGGCAGAGGAAGTCAGGGAGGATATGGAGGTAGAAGTTTGAAAGGCTTTCGAGTGGTGGAATTGCATCTCTCAAGCCACAATGGAAAGAAGATTAAGTTTGAATGCTTTCTTCTGTCCCTCTTTCTCTATTCCACTTGATGAAAGAATACTGGTATTTTACCCTGTTACCTGATCAATGAGAGAGACTTCTACAAATAAGACATTATATAGTCTTGTGGCCCAATTAGTAATGAGTATTGGGCTGAGAAGGTGGCTCAGTGGTAGAGTGCTTGCTTTGCATGCATGAAGCCCTGGATTTGATTCCTCAGCACCAAAATAAGCAGAAAAAGCCAGAAGTGGCACTGTGGCTCAAGTGGTAAAGCGCTAGCCTTGAGCTGAAGAGTTGAGGGACAGCACCCAGGCCCAGAGTTCCCACAACTGGCAATATATGTGTGTGTGTGTGTGTGTGTGTGTGTGTGTGTGTGTGTGTGTGTGTGTGTGTGTGTCTATATATATATATATAGAGAGAGAGAGAGAGAGAGAGAGAGTGTATTGGTAACATTTGAAAGGTGCTTCCTGTTGCTTTTGACTGGATATTCATGTAAACTCTTCTATAAGTTTCTACTTTATACTGTTTCATCTTAAGGGAATAGCCATCATTCCCTCCAAACAGCTTTATTCTTTCCCCTATTGCACAGTTACAAAAAAAAAATATTGCTATTACTTCTGCATCAGTGACCTTGGAACAAATTAGAAGGCTGAAATTTTGGTGTCAGAAAAAATTTCATCTTCTTAAACTACTCAATATGAGTATATTTAGTTAAATAATTCAGAATATATGTTTCCATACATTAGCTAAGATATAAGCTTAGTTATGGTGTAGATCAAGTGAATAAATGCCCTAAACTTGTTGGGTAAAAAAAAAATAAAGATTCCATTGGAATCTGCTGATGTCTAGTTGACTATAGATTTCCTAACAACACGGTGATGGGAAAGTTCTTGATAACAGTAAGTGAAGAATCTTGTTTTTATTTTTTTTCCTCAAAATTCATACCTGAGTTACTTTACAGTTAGGAATTTTAGAAAATCAAAATAAGTTTGTATATTCCCCAGGGTATGGGGGGAGAACATCTTTGTGAATAAAAGGAAGAATTGTTGCTGTAACTTTGTTTTACTCATTTGTAGTGATTTTTAAATGTTAGATCAAGTTATCTGACCCTTTGGTCATGGATATGTACAGCCTATATTTTCTTCTTTTGAATCTGAGTGGATCTGTGACTGTTCTGACTGACATAGGGTTGTAGATATTACATTTTGCAATTTCAGACTGTATGCATGAAAAGGCCAGGAAACTTGCATGTAGTTCAACAACATATTTGCTTTTAGATCACTAGCCTGTAACATAAGAAGTCTGACCAATTGAAGATTTTGTAAAAGAGGCCATATGTAAGTTTTTTTCATTGATAACTTCAGTTGAGATTGCCTTTCCTTTGGATATTCCAGCCACATGCTAGATATTAGAATAGGGAAATGATCTCACATGTATTTATTTCTGCCTCTTAAAAATTATGTGCTAGATTTACTCTATCGAGGCTATAAGGCTCAAGTGTCACATTTTTTAAAAGCAATTCCATTAATTTTTAGTAATGCTATGGATCTAATATTACATTCAAGGCCGTGATGCTGGTAACCTAAAATCAACAACAATTGGAGATTTTATACCAAATAAATTGGCAAACACTATGTATCAGTTCTTTCATCTTACTTTTCTGATAGGAAAACCTCTTCCCAGTACATTATTGCTGCTAACCATCAAATCTCCCTAGTTCGGATTTTGCATGGAATAGAGCAGAGAAGTATTATATATATACCATCTCCTTTCTGAAGCCCCAAACCACAACGTCTGTGAGCATATTAAAATGGTGTTTTAAGTGTTAGGATTGCTTGTTATGTTGAAATAGATAATAAGAAAAAAAAGCCTTCCCTACAAAGATCTGCAACCATTTAGGCAGAGTAAAAATACTAGGCAAATAAGATGCCTAAAATTGAACAGATAATGGCTCTGAACTAGGACTGGTATTTACTATAGCAGAAGCTTTCAGTGATCTGGTGGGTAAAAACTATTCACCTTGTAGATATCAGCCTAGTTCCTTAGCTACCCTAGCATTTGTTCTGTAGGCATGAAACAATGACTTTGATTTCAGGGGTAGAAGTTATTCATTGACCTGGAAAAATGGTGCTTGTTTTTTTTTCCATGATTAAAGCTGATAGAGTTAGTACCACTGTTGAATAACTAAGTTGCTAGTTGCAGCCATCAAGCTTGAGCCTCTCAATGATCCTGTGTACTCAGAGATAGCTATTATGTGTAGTCAGAATAGCTATTCTCTTTGAAGAAGGCTAGTACATGATGTGCCAGGCAGATATTTTTGTTGCATTGGAATACTTTTCCTCACATTATGGACTTACCTTCTATCATAACTGTAAATTTTCCAACAAGGCCATCTTACTAGATCTCTGCTTCTAGTAATGTTATCACATGTAACATTATTTCAGATTTTTAAAAAGTCCTCATTTCCAATTAAAGGAGTAGCAATCGACATACTACCAGAAATTCTCAGTTTTATCATTACATCATTTATAGGTAACTGATACAGTCAAACACTGACCTAAGCAGACCATTTTTATATATATATATATATATATATATATATATATATACACATATACATATATACACATATATATAAATTAAAGATACTGTACAGGGGGTTACAGTTACATGAGCAAGTTAATGAGTCCATTTCCTAGTAAGCATTGTTACCCCCTCCTTTGTTTTTTTTCCCTACCCTTCCTTTCCTTCCACCTCCCCAACTCCTCCCTCCCCCCCACAAAGTTGTAAAGTTCGATTTCAACGTAGTGTCTTATACATCTCGTTGTTACAATGGGCCAACCTGTATCTTTATTTCAGCATTTTGTTATTTCCCTTCTCCTCAAATTAGAAAAATGTATATACAAGATGAAGGACACTGGAATCAAATACAGTGACAACAGGGGTTATACCATGGGAGATGAATATACAAAAGAAGCAAAACAATCACATAGTATATTATAATTACATTACAAAGGACTGCAGGAAAGATAAAATCTCTTGTGTGCCTATCATGGGATTCATTTCACTTAGCATCAGCTTACATGGTCATATGTACATAGCTTTTGACCTTTTCTGTTTATCCTAGACATATACTAGTTATTATAGATAAGGGAAACCATGGTACCTATGTTTCTTCGGGCCTGGTTTGCTTCACTTAATATAATATTTTCCAAGACTTTCCATTTCCTAACAAATAGGGCAGTGCCATCTTTCTAATGGAGGCATAGAATTTCAATATTCATACATATATATATATATATATATCGCATTTTCTTGATCCATTCATCTACTGAGGGGCATCTGGTTTGGTTTCAAATCTTAGCTATGGTGAATAATGCTTAAGCAGACTATATTTATCAAAGAGATGAAACCTGGCTAGGCTGAGAAGCTACAGAATTGAAACTAACATATGCTCAAAATTAATGGTAGTAGTTACCTATGGTTTCTTTCTAAAAATACTTACTGGCTTACATATATTGGTGTGAAACTCAAAGATTAGAATTGAAATTTACAGGTGCCAGCTAGGACTTCATGCCCATATAGTCCAAATATTTCATTTTCTGATATATCATACATATAATACGAATTAAGTCATTCTCCCTTAAAAACCCTGCTTTCCATATTTATACCTTGATAATATCATGATTTACATTAGAACTATTCTATTGATTCTACAATGTATGAAGCACACAGTATTGAGCTTTAATGAAAGCAAGAATTTACATAGCCTAAAACTCAACGTATGTAGTTTAGTGGGATGACTAAGGATTTTGGAACTTTTTGTTCAAAGGTGATAAGGAAAAAGGATATATAAAAATTGGACGATTAGTAAAGATTTACCATTTGGTACTGTTCAAACTTTTTGAAATATTATTTTTTGTTCTTGTTTTGTAGTTCTGAGGTTTGAACTCAGGTCTATACAGGCCTTTTATACTTAATAGTCGCAGAATTCTGAATCCTATCTAAGGAGTATTTGGCCATGTTTACCCCTAGGTGATAGCTTATGAGGATCAGAACGACCCCCAGTGGGCAGTCAGCAGGAGCAGTAGGCAGAGGGATTTGTTCCAGGACACAAAAGAGCACCTGGACTATGAACTATCTGTTTTGGGCTTCCCATCATTGTTGGGATGATAGGCACATACCACTGTGTCCTGCTTCCTTCTGTTGAGATGAAGTCTCACATTCTTTTCTGTTCAGGATGGCCTTCAATTGCAATCCTACACCCTCCATGTTGCTAGGGTTAGCAGCAGGAGCTTACAGGGTGTGACTGTTAAATATATGAGTGTTAAATATATGTTAAATATAATAATTCATTGGAAATATGTCCAAAGGCATGCATGTTCTATTCTCAATTTTCTTTTCCTATTTTATATTTAACTGTATCATCAGGGATTGTTAACCTAGGGTACTGATACATAAAATACTAGAAGAGAACAGAGCAAATGTCATGGCAGAAATAAAAGCCTTTAAGTTTGAATTGAAATATAATGTTAAAAGTCATATGATACCTGTGAGCAGTATCTAAACTGCCCTTAGAATGATCTGAGGCAGTCTGTGTGACTGGCCTATCACAGCCTCAATAAAAAGCAATTCCATATGTGTCCATGAGAATTCTCTCTATCACACAATGAGAATGTGATGAATAAAGACACAAATTTGAACTTAAATGTCATTATGCATGTAATAGAATCTCTCATTACAGGTGTAAGCTCACAGTTTATAGAGCTGTATGTTTATGTTATTCTATACAGTCAAGCATAAAATGATTAGATCACAAAATATGTTTTATTTTCTCAGCATTGATATTTTACAGGTATAATATACTTAAAATATTTTTATCTGCAACAGATTCTGGAGGGAATGTGGACAGAAGGGAACCCTACTGCGTTGTTGGTGGGAGTGTAAACTTGTTCAACCACTTTGGAAAGTAGTATGGAGGTTCTTCAAAAGACTCCACATAGGCCAGAAGTGGCACTGTGGCTCAAGTGGTAGAGCGCTGGCCTTGAGCTGAAGAGCTGAGGGACAGTGCCCAGAGTTCAGGCCCCATGACTGGACCCCCCCCCAAAAAAAAGACTCCACATAGAGCTCCCCTATAACCCAGCAATCCCACTTTTGGGCATTTACCCAAATGATCACAAATAAGACCATACTAAAGCTACCAGCACAACTATATTTATTGCAGCATTATTTGCCATAGCTAAGATATGGAACCAACCCAGATGCCCCTCAGTAGATGAATGGATCAAGAAAATGTAGTATATATACAGATTGGCATTCTATTCCTCCATCAGAAAGAATGACATTGCCCCATTTGTTAGGAAATGGAAAGACTTGGAAAAAATTATATTAAGTGAAGTAAGCCAGGCCCAAAGAAACATAGATCCCATGGTTTCCCTTATTTGCAATAACTAGTATATGTCTGGGACAAGCAGAAATGGTCAGATAAGTTGATGTAAGGTGAAATGAACCCCAGTATAAGGAATCAAATGTTTTTTCTTTCTTGCTAATGTTTCTAACATATTTATAAGGTATTTCTTTGTTGCTTAATAAACTTCTGTCCACACAAAAGTGATTTCTATCTTCTTTCAGCAAAAGAATTTATAATTCATTTACAAGCAATATGATAACTTACATATTTAATGAAATTAGTGACCCTCCCTTTTGAACTATAAAATGTGGCATCTTGGATCAAAATCTGCACTCATTTTCATATGACATACAGTCTGACTAGTAAAATACCAGGATTTCTAATAGCAGAAAGTAGAAACTTCTGAGTTTCATGAAGCCATAATGGATATCAAAGTTGCAAATCTCTTTGAAGGAGATCTGAAACATAAATGGTAGACCTTCGTTTGTTCTTTTTAGGCAGTGCTAGGGACTGAATTCAGGGCTTCGCATATGCTACGCTAGCTAAGTGTTTCTGGAGCTGTCTGATAGCTTTCTATCTTAAATCGTTTTTCCTGTGTTTCTCAGTAAGATCTTTACTGTGAAGAAGTGTATACCAAATCCAAGTTACCCAATCACAATATCCCAACATTTAAACCCTCCCTTACTCCTCCCTGAAAACTCTTCCTTTGCCCATTTCTAGCTTCTGAGATTTTTTCTCTCCAATGCATCCATTTGAAAGTTTCAATGCATTCTTGAAATGTACCCTGTCTTTTTAAAGACCACTAAAGTGAAGGCCAGAAGAAATAAGAACATTTTGTAAGGCAACCTAGTGATTTAGTAGCCAGAACTGTAATTTAGGTTTCCTGGCTTTTTATTTTGAGTTTCGTAGTACATTTCTTTCTTTCTTTCTTTCTTTCTTTCAAGTAATGGACTGTGAGTGGGTATTAGCCTAAAGTAAAGTTTTTATTTTCTTTTAAAATATTTATACTAGATATAGGGCACAGAATTATGTATGGAATGAATTCAAAGAGGAAGCTTTATACTTACTCTTGTATTGTTTCTTTCAGCTTTAAGTTCAGAGATCTCTTCTTCTTTCTCTAGAAGTTGTTCCCTGCAGGCATTCAATTCTTTTGTCAGTGCAGCAAATTCCTGGAAAAGAAATGGAAATATTTGAAAACATATTCTAGACATAATATCTAGAATGTCTCTTTTTGAATGAAAAAATAGGTTTAATCAGTTACTATTATTAAAAGAAGTTGATTCTGTTATCAAAAATACTAATCCATGATATTTATCACATGCATGTAATTGCAAATATGGTATTTCATTGGCTCTATAAAGTATGTTTAAAAATACTATATCACATTGAACATTAATATGGAAACATACTGTTAGAATAATTTATTTGGCTAGTTTTGTGAACCACTTCCAAAATTTACATTGTGATTCCCATCAATGTTCATAGAGAGCATACTAGATCACCATACTGTAAAATTTTGAAAAAAATTATGCTATTTATAGATTAGGAAATTTACTTCATACAAAGTGAAGAAGATAATCTACCTATCATATGTAAAATAATGAGATATCATAGATTTAGTAACATTAACGGTTTTCTTCTTACTCTGTATATTGATTAGTATTTCAAAAAGTGAATTTAATGTGGGTATGACATATTTATTATTATAATATTTGTGTCTCAGGCATGGTGGGCATTTAATTTTTTTGCAATAATTGAGAATAGGTTACATGGTAAGCAAATATATCATGTGTCTGGAACAACCCTATTTTATTTTACTTAATGACATTTTAAATGAATATTCAATAGCTTCCTTTCCCCAAATGGGATCAGATATCAAATGATTTTGATTTTTACCATTTAGGCATACAAAGGATTACTTAATATTTGAAACTTTTTTCAGCTATTTTTCCACTCCACGTTATAAACAAATATTGTTTAAATGAAAAAAAATGGCAAACACATCCATATCATCAGAAAACCCTTTAAAGTGATTCTCAGTAGTAACATTCATGTTTATCAAATATTTAAATATTTGGAACAACTTAATTCCAAGCTAAAAGGCACTCTCAGAAGATCAAAAAGCAAAAGGAAATAGAGTGGGTGGATTTGGTTGAGAAAACTCCCAACAAGGCAAATTCCCTAAAATCTAAATGAGTCAGAAGAATGTGCTAATCTGAAAAAGCATTGAAGTTTTTGTTGTTGTTGTTGTTATTGTTGTTGTGGTTTTTTTATTTCAAACCATTTATTTTGCTGAGTTTCTCCAAATGGATCAGCCAAATAGATATTTCAAAGACTTCAGAGAAGACCCCAGGGCTTAGACTCCAGATGAAAAAAGTCATTGTATTTTTTGCTACCTTGACTGATGAATGTTTTTCCCCCGATTGCTGCCTTCTTAAATGTTGCTGAAACTCTGTGAGCATATTATTTATGTGGCGAATAGAAATAACTCAAAAGGAGTAAATCATTCTCTAAAAATTAAACTTTATATATTGAACAGTTTAGACTGAGAAAAGTAATGAGTAAAAATTTTGTGTTGTATATTATTAAGGCCCAGGCATTTAAAATAATCTTACACCCAGCATTGTAATATAAACTAAAAACCATATAAATTAAATTTGTATATTTAACAACATTCTGATATTAAAACCACTATATCTGTGTCTGTATGTCTAAGGATTAATTATATTTATAAAAAGAACCAATTTCAGAATTTTAATGTTAGATATAACCAAGTAGTAAAATTATGGATGATTTTTTTTTAGTTTCTGACTTCTCCTTTTGTGTTCCTATTGTAAAAAAATCTCTATAACAGCAACAACAAATATTTAGACAGATATATGTAGGTAGGTAGGAAGGTAGATAGATAGATAGATAGATAGATAGATAGATAGATAGATAGATAGATAGATAGATAGATAGATAGACTTTTTATGGCTTAGAGAATAAGAGAAAAAATTAATTGAAACAAACACATATTTAAGATAGAGGCCAAAAAAAGTCAAGTAGTTATTTGTAACAAATGATGTGATATTTTCATTATTTTGGTACTGATTCTGAAGAGCCTATTTGTGATTCTATATATTGTGGTTAGTTACATTTTTTAACTTCTCGGTGAATTTTGAGCATTACTTAGTTATCATTTCATCTTTCTAAATTCCCAGTAAGGGAGTCTTTTTCCATCTGATGTCTGAGGGAAATGAGTTATTACAATGAACTTAGTTCTTCATAAAGCTCACAAGCAATTGGAAATGAATTGATTTTAAGCATTGTTCTCCAGATTCCATGCTTTGTGGTTTTCTACTGTATGATTTCCAGGCTAGCTGTTCATGAGGGTTGTGGAGCAGATGTGGAGTGTATTGAACAGTCTCTTTTTTCTTGTCAGAAGCATTAAGTACAATTATTTTGCATAATCTTCCTTAGTTCAAGGAGATTGTGAGGCATTAGGCAGCACGGATGAGGATATTCCTTCCATGCAGGGAAGCATGCAAGTGTACACAAATGTAGAACTGAAGTAAGGTAGGCTCAAGGAAGAACTCAAACTGCAATTCCTTAGAAACACAAAGTCAAAGTTCAACAACATAAACTCCAGAAAGTGGATACTTGAAGGGGATTGGGTGGGTTAAGGGATGGAAAAGACAGGGAGAATGCACTCAAGAATCCAATGTATATTCTATAAAATTACTAAGAGTGAGGGAAGAGTCATCAGGGAGGAATGGGTTTGAATGTTGAATGGGGTGATGTGGACCAATTTGCATTGAATTCATAATCTCCTTTGTTAAATGTACAACTAAAGACAATAAAAACTATAGAAAGATAGTAAAAAAATAAAATAAGAAAGAATTAGAAAAATATCTGAAACCTTTCTACTTTTATTCTGACATTTTTTGCAAACCTACTTGTCTATTCTTACTGTATTACAAATGGGTAATATTGTCATAAAGAATATTATTAATATCATAAGAATGGGATATAATAAAATAGTTTAATATCAATGATATCATAATAATAAAAGATATAATATCAAGTATAATTAGCATTCACAGTCTTCACAATATGCCAAGAACTGTAAATAATTTTTGACACTTCATTGACATCTCATTAATTCTAATAACATATAGCAATGAGCTATTAAAATATTGCTGAGATCTACAAGAGTCAAGGCACTTGTTCAAGGATATACATTAGTCAGTGCTGGTGCTAGAGTTTGAATATATTTAATGTGTCTTACAGTAGGTGATTACAATGGGTTGTTATTTCTTTCTCAACCACAGAGTTTTCCCTTTTATTTATCTCTCCTTCAGTCTTTGAAACAATTAAATCTTTCCAAGCTCACAAAACATTTAGGGCTATCTACTACCAAGTACATCCAGTTCAACATTCAAAGTTGAAATCACTCAAATGTCCAGTCAAAAATTCAGCACAGGAAGTGGAGTTATGGCTCCAAATGATAGGATTCTAGCTGTAAGCAAAAGAGTTCGGGGACAGTGCCTAGGTCCTGAGTTCAAGACCTATGCCCAACAAAAAACAAAAAACCAAAACCAAAACCAACAATTCAATACATATTCTACAAAATTAATAAAAATGAGGAAATGAGTGCATTGGGCAGGATGGGGTAGGAATGTTGAAAGGGGTAACACTAATCAAGATGCATTGTACTCATAACCTGCTTTGTTGAATGCTAACTTCTTTGTACAAATACTTAAAAAATAAAAATATGTTTAAAATATTGCCTTATTAGTATTCACAGAACAATAGAAACTGCTATTTTCAAGAGGTGGCATGTATTTTTGCTATGCTGTAAGCTACTATTTTCTCAGATGAGGATAATAAAGCTCAGTAAAGAAGAATGATTTCCTCATTGTTGCACAAATCAAAGAACAGAAATAAATATTTCCTAATTCTAACACTAGAAATATTCAAGGGTTGAAATTATGAATTTCCATTTTCTCATCTCTCTTTTACAATTTTTTTCATACTATTCTTTCAACCATTTTCTTTACAAAGCACCATTCTGTCTTAATACTCTAAAATACCTTACTGTATTGCTCTTATAGTAATTGAACTATGCACTTATCTTCCCAAGTAAACACTATGATTCTTGAAGGCAACTTTATTTTTATATTCTTATAAATGGTCAACACATCCATGTTGTGATAAGAAATGAATGATTTTGTTTATCTTGACTTTGTGTTCAACATTGAAATAAGTTTAAAATATATGATTAATTAGCCTTCTACAGAGCAATATAATTTAATAATTTATAGTTAATGTGAGAACATTTTTCTCTCTGTTATTTTTGTCCATATCAGAACTATTATTATATTCTACAGATCAGTGGAATTATTGTCTACTATATTTTATTGCATGCATATAACATAGTGATTTGCATAGACTCTTTGAAATTCAACAAGATAATCTTCTCTGATGCTGGACATTTGTACAAACAATTGAGCACTGTGTCTCTAGCTTAAAATAAGTCAATAGGTTGTTTCTGGTGCTGAAGCTCACTATTATGAAAATCATAGCATTGCGATGCATTTATACTAAACATAGAGATACTAGAATGAATGAGAGAAGGCTTATGTAAAAGAAGGTGAATGATGAGGATAAAATAGTAAGAGCATTTTCTGTCATTTGGTTTTTGAGCCTATTGCTTATAATAATTCATGAATTTGTACTTGTCATTTGTTTATTAGATTATGAATTTGGTCTAATTTATTCTCAATATAGAAGCTGATATTTAACCAATTATTACTTATTTTTAATTTAGTGTTTCTCATATTATTTTCTTAGAAAATTATTTCTATAAAATTCCAGAAACATAATCCATAGCCAAATAGACCAGAAATAATGTGTAATTGATCATTTGTTACTGGAAATTTACAAACAACCATGAGAACGTGGGCGAGGTGGCCACCTAAGAGATTCTCAGCAAAGTTGACTTCGTGACTAAGAATTGTCTGGAACTCATATTTTTATCTGTATGCAAATGCCTGAATCCACACAGTAACTGAACAGGATAAAATATAGTACAAGGAAAGCAATAAAAATAGGTTGGCCCTTCATATACGAAAATTGATTTCAAAAATATAATTTGAAGTAAATAAAGATATGAAAGAACCATACA